AAACATTTGAACTCAAACACACCACACACGCTTCGTACTGCTTTATGTATATCGATTATACATCATGTATTTGGCCTATTTTGCATTGCAGGACAAATCAACGAGCCAAGCGGTGGAGCCCTTGGGGTTATTCATGGGGTTGGGGACATCCATGGGGATATGGTTATCCATACGGATTCCCATTTGTTTGGGGAGGTTGTTGCAATTACGCTCCTTGGTTCAAGGCCAAGAACTGATCTAGCGCCTATCTACCTTATTCTTCGAGTCTATGAAGAAAAATCGCTGAAGAATGAAGTAAAGATGAAATAAAGATACATTATAATATGTTGTGCTACATATTCCAACCACAGACTGTAAAAGTAAAAGTCATCTTGACTTTGCACTCTTTAAAAAAGTGTGTTCCTTTCAGGAATTATTAACCTTCATAGCAGTATGACAAAATACCCTCAAAATAGATCATAGACCAATACCACCTCGAGTTCGATATTACTTTTAGCCTAAAACACCCGTAATAAGAGAAGTGGAATAAAATAAAAAACATCCAAAATATACTAAACATTTATGGTCTTCCGCTTTACGAGTCAACCGTCTCTAGTATTCACAGCATGATTATAAGCTCCCCCATGTCGGCTCTTATTCTGTTCGCCCAATTCATCTTTGGAATTCCTCGTGGTCTTTTTATATTGATCTCTGGATTTTTTGTGATGTTGGTCTTTTCTCTTCTACACACTACCGTACCAACGCAGTTTTGCTGTATCTTCTTCACCATAGGATCATTCTAGCTCAAAATGCCTCTTTACAGAAAGGATCCAGTAGTGATACTCAATGTCTACCGCAGCACCCCTGTCTCCATAACATTGAGCTGGTGTTTTCCGACTTTTATAGGAAACATTCCTTACCAAACAGCGCTGTTGATGGAATACGGTATGATATTTGAAATTTAGGTTGTACTGGCAATCGTTTCACATAGAACTCCTGTGCAGGTTCTCCCTTTTATGTATTCGCTCCTGGTTCGTAATCGTTGTATATGGTTTCTGAAGTTTGACTTCCCACTTCCATTATTCTATCTTCTGTGGAGCTTCGAGTCGTACCACCTGAAATGGTTCTTTTACCTCTGTACCCTTCCTTAGCTCCTTTTCTTCTGACCAGCACCATATCATTTGATGCAGGAGAGCCCAAGAAGGCTGTCGCTCGACAGCTTCCGTCACCGCGTCCGTGATTCTGATGTCATCTATTTGGAGTGCTTTTAACTGCCTTTCAGTTCGCACTTGGCTCATAGTTCCTGATAGATCATTTTTATCTACTGGATGTATACTTCTAAACCATGTTCTTTTGCAGTGCCCACCCTACGATATCAGAGGATTTCTTGTCGAAAGCTTTCCCGTATCCAGGGAAGCCGCATGTGACTCTCGTTATTTTTCGCTAAGTTTTTCCATCAATATCTGACAGTATGGATGGCGTCAGCGTATCAGTACCTTTTACAAACCCGCACTGATTGGATGACAACTCTATGATAGCTTGAAGTCGTGTTTCGTATTCTTTCAAAGATTTTTAGAGTATGGCTCATCAGCCGGTATGCTGAACGGACTGCGATATCGCCTTTATTCTTCGATATCGGACCGTTGTGCTCCTTGAGCAGACATAGGGCATGCTTTTAGCTTTGATGACATGATTGAAGAGGCTGCAAGCCAAGAGACATCCGTATTTTTTCCTGAAGTCATTTGTTATGTCATCTGAACAGCTAGCCTTGCCGTTCTTTAACTTTCATATCGCAAGCCAACTCCTCTACTGCAATGAATGACATTGCTCCTTTCGCAGGGTCAGATGATGGAATGGCTGTTCCAGTTTTAAAAGTGGATGACATTTTTCGAAGTGGGTTCGCCATTTCCCAGTTATCTCCTGTCTTATTAACGTTTTGCCAAGCTTGTTTTTGATAGAAGCGTGGTATGGTAAAAGCGTTCCATATGTTTTGCGGACTCCTTCTCGCTATTCGGTGTAATTCACGCTCTATTTCACGAAATCTTAATTTTTTATACAGCTTTCTGCCTAGCTCTTGGTTCGGTTTCTTGACACATTTATTTGCATCGTATTTCATTTTAAAATAAATCTATCGATCAATTTCCAATTTCGACTCATGCCATTGCTTGTATATTCGACTCGATTTCTTCATCAGCGTTTAAACCTCATTTTCCACACAATTTTCTTTATCAACTCTTTTTCCCTTGTCTTCGTAGACCTAGTAGGCGGCGTAGCAGGAGTTCCCAAAGCCTCGCCGCTTTTCCCCGGAGCTAGTAATTAGGCATCCTGGAGGA